AAACTAAACAGCTACAGTATTTTTACAGTCTTTATTTTACAGTTAAAATATGTTTATTAAATAAAGTCTAATGTTACAACTAATCAGGGATCCCTTTAAGCAAGGTTGCTGGCATCAACTAACTCACTGACGTTTTGGTAAGCTAGCAGCAAACTGTTGAGTAACATGGGCAGCAGCAGCTTCATGTTTTGCCACTGTCCCTTTTAACTGCTTCAAAATAAAAAAGAACGACGTGGAGTGAAAGGAGAAAATCATGCAATGGCTCAAGAGGAAATTGTGGATAAAAGAGGAATGGTCCAGTCACCGGTTAGGTAGAATTAATCAGCCTTTTTTTCTCCTGGTCCTTATTTCAAATAGGTTAAAAATATTTTTATCAATAATTATCTCCTTTAACTGATATGAAACACTTATATCAGGGTACATTTTTAAGCCATATCACCCAGGCCTACACCAGCCTTATAATGTATAAATAAGTAAAATAAAGTATATGTATAAAATAAAGCAAAATTGGTGAAATCTTACTTCAGCATTGGACCTGAGGATCTGAATACTTCAGATAAATAAAATATAAGTAACATAGACAGAAAATATTACCCTGGTGTAAGACTAAGCATCCCCACAGGGAAAATAGTTCACGTGCTTTGTGTCATTATCTTGACTGCACAATGACTGCACAGAATAGTGACTAAAGGGCTCTTAAACAAGGTTCTCAAAACTACTTTTTACTCAAATCAACATATGCTGTCATTGCAGGGAACGTTAAGTGTTTCACTCACCACTGTTGGGAGGTTTGGCGATCTCAAAAAGCACAGTCCCAGTCTCGAGATCTCTGATTTTGAAGCGTGTGAAGTCAATGTTGTAAATGTTGTCCTCCGGTCTGCACAGATAGTCTGGATCATAAAAGGAAAGCGCAAGTAANGCACTTGTTAGCAGTAAGGTTTAGCTGAAGAGAAAGTATTGTAAGTAATGCCATATTTGTTTGGTGACCCAGAATTCAACCAGAGTCAACAGGTGACATTGTGGACAAGTGGGGGGTAAACTAACAGAGGTTTGCCTGGAGTCTTGTCAACCTACAAAGCCATGGTCCTTTAATTTAAACAGTATTAGCAACGGGAAAGTGGCTTTCTGCTTTGTTAACTGAATAAAAACTGCAGCAGCTCCAGTGACTTCTATATAATTTTGATATTTAAAAAAATGACTGCAGCTCATTACATACATCTTATTCTCGTTCCCTTGACCTAAACAATAAGATATAGCACTTCTTATTTCACTAAGTAGATTTTTTAACTGGACTTAGTCAAGAAGTTGACAGATAACTGCTCTCTTAGCACTAGCCACAGTTAGCTCATTATGTTGCCCATTCAGCGGTGCCTTCAACATCAATAAGCTCCACAGTCTTAACGTTCACACACAAGACATACCTTCCGTGACATCCCGCAGGCCCAGGACTTGGTCCGGAGAAATATCTCTTCCCAAAGCCCGGAGTTCATCTTCTGTGACCACAGGCCACTTGTCCGTGTTACTGCGCCTCGACTTCAGCTTCCTCAGCATTCCTCCACCGGTCTTTCTGTCCCTGTGGCTCGCGTCCAGGCCGCTGTCTGCCTCCGTCTGCCCCTTGCTGACTGCCTGTGACGGTTTGTTCCGCGAACTGTTCATACCGCACACAATAGCCAGAAAGAAGGAGTTTGACTATTCTTTTAAAGAGAAATTTGACCAACTGCGGGTGTAATTTCAAGATGGCGTGAAACGTATACGGAGGATGGAAAAGCGAGCTTGTGATTGGCTGAGAGAGATGAAGGTTGTCATGGTTACCAAAAGGGAGTGAATGATTTAATATCAGCTTGTCCCGTTTTATTTAAAAAAAACTATTTTGTGTTAGATAAATTACTATGGCATGCTATAGTCGACTCGAGGGAATTTATTTTATTGGACATATCCCATGTCTATGGAGAAAAATTTTTTTTGGAAAATGTTAGCGTCTTGTTGGGATAACAACGCGATGTATTGACAAGTGCTAAATCGGGCTGCCCCGTGTAAGGTTTCAAGCGCAACCAGCTTCTCCAAGCGTGTCCACCAGATGGTGCCAGCGTAGAACTCCGGCGGAAAGTTTTGTTGACGGAAGTTCATACACGAGAGGAGGAGCAGGGATGGTGCGGTTGAAGTCGAGGTAAAACGTGCTCCAGTTTTCCTTTTTCACGATTCATTTTTGATACTCACCGCCCTTCTGTCGGTAGGTATTTACTGTGCGAGGTGAATGTGTCGAAAAGGAACGAGCTGTTGCTTCTGGATGACCGGTCAATTGCTTCAGCGGTGAGAGCAGCGGTGGCCCGCATGCARGGAGACTATGGGGCAGCTCTTTGCAGCATCCGATTCTCCGGTAAGCCATGGTGGGAAAAGTAAAGCACATCCTATAGTTAGTAGACTAAAACTTCAGTTAAACTTTACATTATCTTTTATCTGTAATTGTTTAAAAGCAATAAATAGCTGCTGTTAAATAACGTAGACGACGCTTATTTGGCTTCAGAGTCGGCTGTTTCATAAAGTTAAACATTTTTTTGTTTTGCATTCTCTTTATTCAAAAGTACAATAAGTATACTGTTCAAACCTGTACAAATGAATTAATTCTTAAAAAGCAATGTGCAATACACAGTTTGTGATTTGTGAAACTTTAGTTCTGTTAATAAAAGGCCAAGAAAGGTCCATTTTAGTTTTTTGATGTTTTGTTTTTGACACCTGGATCTCATTAAAACAGGTCCAGTTCCTAAACTACAAGACTTAGAATGTTGTTCTCAGGACAAGGCTAATAAAAGCAGTAAAATAAAGTTACTGATTTGTTAAACATTTATTCTGATTATAAAGGTCACACACACACACACACACACACACACACACACACACACACACACACACACACACA